GGTTTGGGCACTTGGTCTCTAAAAGGTTCGCCATCACTACAATAGAATCTATTGGCTTTCGAAAGCCAATAGAATAGACTCTCTTGAATAGAGTCTAATTCTATTGGCTTTCAAAAGCCAATAGGAATTGTCCAGGCTGTCTCTGCCCTGCTGAGACCGCCAAAAGCCCCAGTCTGCAAACGGTGCTGCAGGAAAGCTTCCCTCCCTGCTGAGCAACTACTAAAAGTAAGTAAAAGAGGGCCAGGGGTGGGAGGTGGGAGGCCGGCGAGTGCAGGGAGGGTTTCTGGCGTGCGTGGGGCCCGGCGGGTGCCTTACCTGCCTGGGCTGGGCCAGCTGGTGGCCCAGCCGTTGGTCGCCCTGCGCCGTCGCTGCCGCTTGCTGTGGCCACCCAGGAGCGCCTGGGCCTGCCTGCTGCCACCCCGAACGGGCGGTGGCCAAGGTAAGGCTAGCGGGGTGGCGGCGGGCGCAGGGAGGGTTGCTGCCACATGTGGGGCCCAGCGGGTGCCTTACCTGCCTGGGCTGGGCCAGCTGGTGGCCCAGCCGATGGTCACCCCTGCGCCGTCGCTGCCCCTTGCCAGCGCAGGGGGCGGCACCACGCATGCACGGCACTCCCGGGCAGGGAAAGTCCTCAACTTACGACCAGTTGGGTAGTCCTCGACTTACGACTGGTTGGGGGTCATGGCATTAAAAAGGTTGAGAACCACTGGTTTAGAAGGAGCCAGATAGGTAACCACAGAAGTGAGCAAACAAGGATCATGTACATCCTTTCATTTTTGCTAATTGACATTATGGGAGTAACATTACTTGGAGTAGAGCTACAGTTGCAACAATAATGTTAAACTATAATAACAGAAAACCATGAAATCCTAATAGGTGATATACATAATTGAATTCAACTAATAAGTCATATTTTAAAGTTGCCAAAGATAATACAAACCCTGATTTGTTCTAGCACAAAATAACGTATCCATTCACTGAAGTACAGTGGATTGGGCTTTATGTAGGTAAAGTAAAATCCAGATTTACAGACAAACATAACAGCATGCAGGGCAGCTTGACTCCCTCTTCTCTGTGGCAATCTCTGAAATATTGGACCTCAATTCACATTCAATGCTCAGTAGACTTCCAGAATATTCTGGAACCGTGAGAACTGTCCAAAAGATTCTAGAAGTGGCCAGAATTATCTAAAACTTTCTGGAATCTTTTAGAACTTTCAAGCACTTTCTGGGACTATCTGGTAGTATCCATGGAAGTATAAAAGTACAGGTGCCTTAAACCACAATTTTAGTTTGTCTAATTGCTGAGTAAGAGAATAGTAATTAGCAATATTTGATTTAGATGGCATCAAGAGGTGGCTTGCACTCAGAAGATGCAGTTTACTACGTGTTTGGACAATTTATTAAGACAAGAGTGAAAAAGTACTCCATAAAAGCATCTGTTAAGATATGCGAGGCCTACAAATACTTTGGCATGCCTGCTGGGGATCAAGATAAGCCCCGGGTACCTCATTTCACATGCGAACACAGCCACAAAACTCTTGTAGGTAAGATGAATTATTGTGCTCGCTAGATGGAATTTCAGTGATTTATTACAATTTTAAAGAGTTGCAATTAAGAAAATTTTCACTATTTTCAATGTGCTGAGAAAATACAGACTACAATATATATCGTGTCCTATGGTAATATAATCTTGCACAAAATTAAATGTGTGAAATACCATTTTTAAAAATATATATATATATTTCTGCTATGTTTACAGGCTGGTACAAAGGAGAAAAGAGAGTAATGAAGTTTGCTATTCCAAGTATTTGGTGGAAACCAACTGACTATTCAAGCAACTGCTACTTCTGCATGGTGGACCCTTCCAAAAGTCAAACTGGCAAAAGCGCGCCAGAATGTCATGTTATCCAGACATTCCTTCATCCATCGCCCCGGTATCACACTCCAGAGACTGATCAGCCATCTTCAAGAGTGAGAAGCATGCCAGACAGCGAGGAAAATATTGCACATATAGATTACAATTTCACAGATGCAGCTGAGCTGAAAAAGGCATACAGTACTTCCTCAATCAGAAAGACCTCAACTATCTGATCAGAGACCTTGGTCTTACCAAGTCCCATGCTGGGCTTTTGACATCGAGGTTCAAGGAGTGGAACTTGCTGGATGAAAGTGTGCATGTCACAGGTCAGACAAAGTGTCACCAATTTTTTTCCAACTTCTTCAGTCGGCAAGATTGGCTGTGCTTCTGCAGCAATGTGGCCAGTCTTTTCGAGGCTATAGGAATCACCTGCAACCTAAGTAAATGCTACCATATTCATCCAGGAGCCTCAAAGCTATGCTGCTTCATAATGGGAAAAAATACCCGTCTCTCCTTATGGTTCACTCTATGCACCTCAAAGAGGACTACACCAGTGGCAAGATGTTGCTGAGTGCCTTGAAGAATGATGACTATGGCTGGGAGATCATTGGAGACTTCAAAATGGTATCATTCCTGATGGGCCTCCAAAGCGGTTTCACAAAGTTTTCTTGTTTCTTTGCCTCTGGATAGCCAGGACATTTAGGCACACTATCACAGAAGGGACTAGCCACATCGGACTGAGTTGTCTGTAGGGAAAAACAACATAAAGTGGAAGCCGCTGGTAGACCCTTAGAAGGTGCTGATACCACCACTACCCATCAGGTTAGTCTCATCAGACAATTTGTCACAGCTCTAGACAAGGAGTCAGCAGCTTTCAAGACACCTTCAAGATCTCTTCCCACAACTGTCGGAGGCAAAAATTAAAGCTGGTATCTTCGTCGGACCACAGATAAAGAAGATCACAGAGTGTGACAAATTCACCAAGAGGCTGAACAGGATGGAGAAAGCAGTTTGGAACAATTTCGTTGTAGTGGTTCATGACTTTTTGGGCAATCACAAGGCTGAAAACTATGAGCAGCTGGTTCAGACTCTCATAAAGAACTATGCCAAAATGGGATGTCCTCCAAAATTCATATCCTTGATGCTTACCTTGACAAATTGAGGGAGAACATGGGTGCTTACTACAAACAACACAAATGCTTTCATCAGGATATACTGTCTGTCATGGTTCCAACAGATGAAACTCTTCAAAAGAACTTTGAGGCATTGTTTATCTTAAAGAATCTTTATTTTGAGTAGCATAACTGGCACTGCATAATTGAAGCCAAAAACTGAATTCTCCTTTCCTGCGCACATAGTATCAAAGCACAATTCCCTCCTCCAATTAACAGTCATAAATCACATTCCCCAATTAGCTTGAAGTCTGAGCTTCCTCTCCAGTTCTCCAGCCCAACAAGTCCTTATCAGCTCTGGTTACAATAATCTTGTTTCTCACGCTAGGTTTAGAGTTGTTATGTCTAGCTGAACTCTCGTTCACATTCCCCCTCCCAGCATCATCTAACTCTAAAAGCTTTAAGGTAAAAGATGGCTACATTTCCATCTGTTGTCAATGCAAAAACATCCAATGTTAGCAGCATTGACACTGTTGTTACCAAGGACAGTATAATGAAAACATGATGGGGGTAGTATGTTTAGGGGCCTCTTTGAAAAAGGGATTTGCAGTATAGCCGCAAATCTAGAAAAACTACTCATTCTGAACGCTTGAGTGGTTTTGACTGTCTTTGTATATTTGCCTTGCAAGTATATATTGTTCTTTATCCAACTGCTTAAAAAGATAAAAATTTGCCTGTTTTGTAAATATGAAACTTTTGTAGGCTGTGGTCACAAAATCAAAGTTTGTGATGAATATATTATAGGCCAGTGGTGGCGAACCTATGGCACGGGTGCCAGAGGCGGCACTCGGAGCCCTCTCTGTGGGCACATGTGCCGTTGCCCCAGCCTTGCCTCCCCCCGTGACCCCCTCCTCTCCAGCAGCCCCCCTGAAAGAGACTCGCCCTCGAGCGTGGCCCACATGGAGCAGCGCAGCCAAGGACATGGCAGCCAGGCAGCGTAGACAAGACTGCCCTCAAACCCCATCATGCAGTTGATGCTGCAGGGCATGGGCAGAGGGTGTAGCCGCCATAGCGCTGCTGGGCTGCCTGAGCGATCTGCGGCGGGCCCTGGAGGCAGTGAGTGGTCCTGTGGGCAGGTGGGGCAGGGGATGGAGGGGCAGAGCAGGGGCAGGGCAGGAAGGTGGAGTGGGGGCGGGGCCAGTTTTTGGGCACTCGATCTCTAAAAGGTTCGCCATCATTATTATAGGCTTTAGACATAAGCAATTTAAATATAAAATTTAGGAGCCAGGAACAAAAATTGTGTTACATAGTAATTACAATCCATCCTCTCAAATAGTCACAAAATTCAATGCAAACGGTTCTCGGGTATTTTAAAATCACTTTAAGGCTCTTAAAATGCTGTTTCCAGTCACGTTAGACTTTGAACAGTGCTTGCAACAGATAATATGTGTATACTGATAAATGGTAAGAACAGAAAATGCAGTATCTATGTTTTACCTTTCAGCTTTACAAAGTCCATAAATTAATAGGCCGTTTGCATCCTATAAGTCAGCAAATAAGGGGAGGAGTGATATATGAGCAGCCTCCTACATAGAACGCAGACTGCAGGTAGAGAGGAAATGGCCTCTTACCGCAGAAGTGGGGAAAACAGAACTGCCACATTTTTAAGCTTAACCCATTTTACAGTAGAGTGATAACAAAGGCAATGAAAAATAACAACTCTGATATCATACATTTGCTTCCTTAAAATTCATCAAATGCGGAAAAAGGAGGGAAGACATGGAAACAAACACCACCCCTAAATACATTACTCAAGCATATCTTGAAAAGTGACTCTGTAATTGACCGAAAGAGGAGCTGGTGAAGAAATATGCATCATCAGTCCCTCCTCCTTCAAAAATGAAGGGAAGCTACATTACAAGTCAAGGAAGAAAGGCTGTGAAGCTGGATGAGAATCAGACAAGTCCCATATTCTCTCTGGCTGCGTACCTGGAGACAGGTAGAAGACACCCGAGGCTCATTCAGGCTTACCTTGTCACCAACGTTTTCGGTTTCATGATCTCCGCCAGCTCCTCGCCTCCTGAGCTCCGACGACATTTCGGAAGACATTAAAGCAGCAGCAAGGGCACAAGGAAGCAATATGAAGATGTGCAGGGTGTCAACCCTGCCTTACAGCCGAGCTATGCCAGATTTTATTCCAAAGGTTAGGCCTCTAGTACATTTTATATCCCGGATGCCACCTAGGAACGAACCTGTCGGCAATGAAAAAAATCCTATTTCCTCTTTACGGAGCAGAACACCTGAAATCACTTCTCTGCTGCAAAAGAACACCAGCCTGGGAGTCTCTCTCTCTCTCTCTTTTTTTTTTTTTTTTGCAGACTAAGCCTTAAGAGACAGCATTTTGGAAGGCGTCCTGAAGGTCTCTCAGTTTTTCACATCCAAGTAGGAGGGCCTCTCAAATCGGAGGGGGGGGGAAAAAAACCTTCATTCAATTCCCAAGAGTGGTGTTTTGTTTTTTTTTGCTAATCCTTCACGGAAAGGGAAAGAAGGCTGGCTACTTCCCACGGGGAAGGGTCAGGATTTTTTTTTTTTTTAATGAATCCATGTAACCTTCCCTTCCATTCAAAAAGCCTTCCACACAGTTCTTTTATGGCAGGCGCTCACGGGGGGGGGGAGCCACCCCCAATCCTGGCTGAAAGAATAGCTCACAAATCCAGTCTTCCGATCTTTTCCGAAAATGAGGATGGAAAATTAAAGAGGTCGGCTTCTTTTCACTTCGGAGGAAGTTGGGGGGTCTCCAAGAAACCTGACCAACTGGCCAGTTCTCCAGGCAGGCAGGCAGGCAGGACTCCTTCTCACGCACCCGGACTTGCCCCCGCCCTCACTCCCACATCCCCAATGTAAAGTTCATCTACCTCCGTCGCCTCCCCCCCCCCACTTCATAAAACCCCACCAACCCAAAGCTACGAAGCGCAAGCGTCCCCCCCGCGCCTCCCCATGCTTTCCACAGAGGCGCCCCTCAAAAGGCCTCTCGTCTCCCTCCGCCTGCCCCTATTTGGAAGTTGGGGGGGGGGTCCAGCTACGACCCTTCCCCCCGACAGACCTTCCCCTGACGCCCCCCTCCCTCCCTCCCCTCCGGGGAGAGAAAAAAAAGCCCCCGGAGCGCGAGCGCGAAGAGACGGTTGCCTGCGCGCGCACACACACGCGCGCCTGCTTCTGCTAAGCAACCTCCCGCTTCTGGCGCTGGGCCGTTCGGCCCGTCGCGCGGCAGCCGGGCCACGCCCCCTCGTATGAGGCGCTTAGCCCCGCCCCCCTCTCTCTCTTTTCGACTCGGCACGGCGGGGGCGAGAGGGGTAGGTACGCCAGCGAGGTAAGCAATGTAAAAGCGTAAATAAATACATAATTCAGTGTTTCCTGGCCTTGCACAAGTATGCGCCCAGGCTCAAGAAATACATCTTGGATGAAAGAGGAGCAGGAGGAGGAGAAAGAGGAGAAGGAATTAGAAATCCTTTCACCTTTGGTATCGCTAGGATACCTGCCAAAGTAAAGACACCTTATATTAGATGTATAAGAAGTAACCTTTAAGACTCGGTAACTAAGTCAGATGTGCGAGTATATGAGCAAACAGAAGCAGGTGGTTCTGACTAAGGTGAATGTGAAAAAGGTAAGTGAGTGAGAAGCCACCGAGGATGTAGCAGCGGAAGGCAGGTAAAAGTGAAGGGAGCAATTCAAGAGTACAGGTAGTCCTTATCTTGCAACAGTTCATTTAGTGACTGTTTGAAGTTACAACGGCACTGAAAAAAGTGACTTCCAATGATTTTTCACACTTGTGACCATTGCAGCATCCCCATAGTCACGTGATTTACATTCAGATGCGTGACAACTGGTTCATATTTATGACGGTTGCAGTATTGCCTGGGGTCATGTCACCATTTTTTGCGACCTTCTGGCAAGCAAAGTCAATGGGGAAGCCAGATTCACTCAATCTTGTAGGCTAATTCATTGCTGACTGCCAGGAGTTCGAGTCTCACCGGCTCAAGGTTGACTCAGCCATCCATCCTTCCGAGGTCGGTAAAATGAGGACCAAGATTGTTGGGGGCATCGTGCCGACTTTGCAAACTGCCTAGAGAGAGTTATAAAGCACTGTAAAGCGGTAGATAAGTCTAAGTGCTATTGCTATTACTAATTTAACAACTGCAGTGATACACTTAACAAATGTGGCAAGAAAAGTTGTAAAATGGGACAAAAGTCACCTAACAAATTTCTCACTTAGCAACATACATTTTGGGCTCAATTGTGGTGGTACTCCAAGGACTACCTGTATAGCTAACAGATTAGACTGTAATGTGGGATTTCATCCAAAATTCTGCCTTGCAGACTTTAAGAAGATACATCTGAAATTCCCCAGCCTTTTTTTAAAATTCAGGACATCGCACTTGGAATAAATACAGAATTCAATTCCCAGTGTTTGGGGTATTTGTAAAATATTCAATACTGTTTTTGGTCATCTTATAGGGAATGCAAATCTTTTAATGCCATCCTCTGAGCTCTTTATTCAAAAAGACAAGTGACTAATTATAAGTCGTGATTGCAGTGGTTTTCTTCTGTATTTCAAATTCAAGCCTTTTGGAAGCCACCAAATAAAGTGTGAAATAAATAAAAGATGTAATTTATTATGCCTCTGTGTAAAGTAGGGGAGAGATTTCCAATCGGTCTAGAAATCCAAGCTTTCTCTAGTCCCAAATGGCGTTCTGTGTAGATTCATGAGTACAGATAGTTGTATGGTTTTCACTTTAAAACTATCTCTTTCTTCACTAAAACAGCTATTTTATTTCTACATAAATGTGTTTAGCACAAGGGAAGCAAATCTCATTTATCTTTCTAGTTTAAGATGATTCAGTGATACAAAATTATATATGCACAGTATGTATTTATTCATTTTAAATCAAGTTAGTAAATGAAATGTATCCATAATATAGCATATATAACTATAGTGGGAGGAATGTCAGTATGGGTGGAAATGTTAGCTGTGTGTTTCATAATTGAAATACTGCATATGACTCTCTAGGGACGATCCCTATCAAACTATTACATCTAGCTTTCTACTGAGGTCACATTTGCAATATGGAGATTGTTGCAAAACAAATTCACTGAATCTCTGGAAGGTATGATTTCCAACAGGATCACTGAGTATTATAGCTGAACCAGATTTTCATGGGCAAGCACCGGATCGGCCTCAAGGCCTACAGCCATGAGCAGCAGAACTGGCGCAATCGGCACAATGAGTCTTGCGGCGTGATGGGTGAGCGCGTAGCAGGTGCCGACACAGACTCTGCTATTTTCAGCAGCACTTCTGTGTCTGGCCTGCTGCCTCAAATCAGCTGTAGTGCACCGTGGAGAGCATGGCTGACACGGGCAAGGCAGGCGCACACATAGGTGTGACTGGGTGAGCCCGGGAGGGGCAGGATGGGATTAGGCAAATGAGCTGCAGCTGCTCCTATGCACCACCAGGCCCTGAGTGCTCGCCGTTTCCTGTGCGTGCGCCAGGAGGACGCCCAGCCGGGTCAGGGTGGGCCAGGGCTGAGGTAGCAAGGGCCGGTCCCTTGCCATTTCTAGAACAGCTCCGGGGGCCAAATCTGGGTCCTTTGCGGGCCGGACTAGGCCCACGGGCCTTGTGTTTGACATGTCTGCTATAAGGTGACTCTGCGGCAATGCCAAGAGTTATGTTGCCGCCTAAGGCAGTGCATGTTGCCCCTCTGTCCTTTGAACTGCATTGGTTGCCAGTTTGCTTCTGGCAAGTTTCTAGATTTAGCCTTTAAAGTTTAAGCATGGGATTGGATTAACTGAGGCACTGTCTCTCCCTGGGTATTTCAACTCCCACCCCATTAGATTTTGCAGAGAAGGCATTCTGCAGCTACAGATCTAAATCTGGTGGGTCCCAGGAAACCTGCCTTTTCTGCTGTGACTCCCCTTATGGAATATTCGTCCCCCTGTAATGGACCAATTCTTTTTTATTTTTCATGACGCCCTGAATCTGGATATGCTGCCAGGTCTGGGGCTTCCAGAGTTAGAGAATCTATTTTGATGGCTCTACTGGTTAGTATTTTAAAAATAAAAATTTCTAGATTTTTACCTACTTATATTGGCTATTTCATTTATTGTTGTACCCCGCTCAAAGTCACCCTTGGGAGGAGATGGGCAGCTCTATAAATGTGATGGATAAATAAATGAAAATTCTTGCAATCTTTGCTCAGCTTGTATGAGTTCAGTGCTATTCTGACTGCAAACTTCAGAAGAAGCCTGGTGCATATTTGGCAGAATCTCACCCCCTTTTACTTGTGCAGCTAAGCCAGTTTTATACATGCCACAAGGGACTATCTGAATCTCTCGATCACACAGATTTGGATTTGTGATAATAAAATCAAATCAGAAGGAATGCAGTGCTTCTCATCATCGGAATCTTAGACACTGCCTAGCCCAGGGATAGGCAGCCTTGGCTCTTTTATGACTTGTGGACTTCAACTCCCATAATTCCTGAGCCAGCATGGAAACTCCCTTTTCCCTCAGCATAGCTGGCTCAGGAATTCTGGGAGTTGAAGTCCACGAGTCATAAAAGAGCCAAGGTTGCCTACCCCTGGCCCTAGCCCAATTTAGCAGATTTTCTCTCTCCAAAAATATTGTTGAAATAATACATTTTGCAAAATATGAACATCTTCCCCTTCATTCAGCTTAGCCCTCATGAGAATTCCTATTCTCAATGTCCTTCAACAAATATCTATTACTGAGATATTTTGCTACCCTGATAAAATAACAATATATTATAATTGTTGCTTTCTGTGAAGATGTAAGTCTTTCAATAATTGCTCATCAGAGAGTCAACAAATCTTTGAAAGCCATGACATTCTCATCAGCTTTATGAACTAATCATTTACTAACTATACATTCCATAACTCTTGTGTAATGGAAGGCGTTACTCTTAGGATTCTGGTTTGACCAGTCCTCTGAGCAGCTTTCAAAGACTAGGTACTGGGTTTGCACAGAATTTAAAAGATTTGTGGCAACTTTACAAAGTTAAACCATAGGAGGTAAACTCTAGGACTCGTCTTCAAGGTGAATTAGCCTCTCTTCTATAGTAGCCTTCAGATGAGTTGAGGTACAATTCTCAATTCTTGCCAACCTGGACATACTATGAAATCCTGAAAGAAAGCTAGTAGTTTACACTGGTGAAAAAACAAAATCCAGAGTCCAGAAATGTTGCATGCCTTTGTTGAGACCAACGAAAATGAAACAAACTGGCAAGAGCTATAAAGATGAAGAGTTAAGTCGGTGTTTCAACCAGGAGGCTTAAAGCGTTAAAGTTTACAATCTTGTGGAGCTGCATTACTAGCTGTCTAGGGCCGCATGTGACCCACGGGCTGCAGTTTGGACACACCTGCTTTAAACAGATACAATAATATAAATCAATGCTGATATCAGGTGTGCAACAGTAAGTGAAAGACAATGCAATGGTTTTCCCAGCTCTGCAGATTCAAGGGTAATAAATCCTCCAGTTATCCCCTGCCAATGGCAACACACATTTTGGTTTGGCAGAAGGAATCAGAGTCTTTACATCAGGAAGATGAGAGAATTATTTTGGTTAGGGGATTAGGAACCTTTGTGGATTAGAAATTTTTAAAATAACTCAGTCTTTGCTGAACTGATAGAACTTCTTGCCTCTTGTTGCTATCAAACCATGTTATCTTGATTGAGGATTGTACCTGATAATCAACTACTAGTGCAGGGGTTCTCAACCTTGGCAACTTTAAGACTTGTGGACTTCAACTCCCAGAATTCCTCAGTTCCCATGTGTATAGAATGGGGTGATGAATCCGGCCCTTTCTTCCTTTTTGAACAGAATAACTTTTTCACACATCTTTAAGTTAAATCAATGTACATGTGCCTATCT